TCTGCTCCCCAAAATCCCTCAGCTCTGCCCCCCAAAATCCCTCAGTTCTGCTCCCCAAAATCCTTCAGCTCTGCCCCCCAAAATCCCTCAGCTCTGCTCCCCAAAATCCTTCAGCTCTGCCCCCAAAATCCCTCAGCTCTGCTCCCCAAAATCCCTCAGCTCTGCCCCCAAAATCCCTCAGCTCTGCTCCCCAAAATCCCTCAGCTCTGCTCCCCAGAATCTGAGCTCTGCTCCCCAAAATCCCTCAGCTCTGCTCCCCAAAATCCTTCAGCTCTGCCCCCCAAAATCCCTGTGCAATTCTCCCCCAAAATTCCCGAGCTCTGTCCCCAGGCCCAGCCCAGCCCGCCCGCACCCCTCGGGCTCTCCCTGCTGCCCGCAGCCCCCCCAGATCACCCCTGCCATCCCCCGGTCCTCCCCCCCCCTCAGCCGGGCCCTGCCCCGCCCCCGCCGGGCCCGGCCCCGCCGCCCCCGCGGGCCTCACCTGGCTCGGGGGTCGCGGGGGGCGGCGGCGGGCTCCCGGCGGGCTCCCGGCGGGTTCCCGGTGTCTCCCCGGTGTCTCCCGGCGGATCCCGGCCGTGCCGGGGGTGCCGGGCGGTCCCGGGGGTCCCGGGCCGGGCGGGCGGAGCAGACGCGGCCGCCGCCGAGCGCAACCGGCACCACCACAAACAATGCCGCTGATTGGCCGCCGCCGCCGCCGCGCCCGCCCCGCCTCCCGACCCCAGCCGCGACGCCCATTGGTGCGGCTCTCAGACTGGCAGGAGCCCTCCCCAATCGAATCGCTGCAGTTCGCTTTTATCCCGCCTAGCGCTTTTTATTGGCTGGCCCAGCAAACATTGACGCGGCGCTGCGCCAATGGGGACGCGCCGGGCTTCCCCGCGGGGCGCCTTTAATGGGTGCCCGAGTCTGAACATCCGGGTACCGCCAGCGGCGCGCGGCGGCGGCGCGCGGCTTCTCCCCCGGCCCGCGGGGGCGTTTTGGCCGCTCGCGGCCGCCGTACCGTCCCCAGGCCTGGTACCGGCCCGGTTCCGCCGCACGTGGCGCCGGCGCGAGGCCGCGCGTGGCTTTTTAGGCGAGTCCCGGCTCCGGGAGCACCGGGCGGAGCTCTCCCCGTGCCCGGCGGGGCGGCAGCGCGCGGGGCCAGGCGGCCGCGAGGCCTCATGGGCTGTGCCAGGATCCAAGATGGCGGCCCGAGGGCAGCGCCCGGGCCGCGCCAGGATCCAAGATGGCGGACCCGGCTTCACCTCCACCCCCCCCCGCCGCCTCCGGGGGTCTTCCCACCCCCAAAACCCCCCAGGAACAAAAACCGGCCTGGAGACAGCGCGGAAAATACCGCAGCAGCTTTTATTTACAGGCCCCTGGGGCGGGGGCTGCTATTGCACAGTGCAAGGGGAGGGGGTGGCCCCGAACCCCCCCCAATGGCCACCAAACCCCCCCGGGGGGACAAACCCGGAGCCCCCCTCAGCTGCCCTGGCACCACCCGAGTGGGGCAAAACACCCCCAAAACCCCCCCGGGGTGAGAACCGGGGCAGGAATGAGGAGGGGGAACCCCCCCAGAGCCGCCCCTGCCCGTCCCGCCCGCGCTCTCACTCTGGGGGCTGAATAAATAAATAAAAATATATTAACACTGGCGTATAAAACCCGTGGTGAGCCTGGCGGTTCCCGGGGGGTCCCTTTTCCCCAGCCTGGAGTATTTGAGGGGGGTCCTAGGGGTCCCCTCCCCACCTTTGGCATCTGAGGGGGGTCCTGGAGGGTCCCTTCCCCACCTCGGCCCTGCCCCAACACTTTGGGGGGGTCCCTGCCCCACTCTGGGGGTCCCCTGGGAGCTCCTATTTAATACTGAGGGTTCTTCTCCCCACCCTGGAGTGTTTGAGGGGGGTCCTGGGGGGTCCCTTTTCCCCATCCTGGAACATCTGAGGGGGGTCCTGGGGGTCCCTTCCCCACCCTGGAGCATCTGAGGGGGGTCCTGGAGGGTCCCTTCCCCACCTCAGCCCACCCCAACACTCTTGGGGGGTCCCTGTCCCACTTTGGGGGTCCCCTGGGATCTCCCCTCTCACACTGGGGGTGGGATTCTCTCCACCCTGGAGCATCTGAGGGGGGTCCTGGGGGTC